GCACCAAAGAGCAGAAATGGAAACAAATCACTGGAAAAATTAATCCAAATGAGTCCAAATAATGAAAATTCTATTTCATGTTTCTTATTTGCCTTTTTGTGAAAAACAGTGAAAACAAAAATCTACTCAGAGAATATCACTAGAGAAGATAACATTACTGTGTTCCTTTAGATTTACCAGGTAACCCCCTTCAACACCCAGTGGTGCCGGAATGTTAAACAATTTTTAAAAGTGCCCAGGTGCCCGTACCGCTTCCTCACTGAACTGCTCGGGAAATACGTCAGCTGATGCCCTCAGCCTATCACTGGATGCCCACAGCAAATAACGCTGCAAAATACTACACTATTTTCTTAATCAATCCTCACCATGGACGGCCCGTTAAAGGCTGAGAGTGTCAGCTGATGCTTTAATCCAATCGCAGAAGGAAAGGAAGCAGATTGGCACCTGAGGGCACATATTGAAATCCATTCAAAACAGACCGTTCCAGGAGGCTCCATGCCCCATTACTGCTTCTTTGAGATGAAGTGGTTATGGTGTCCAAAGTGTTCCTTTACATGCCAATGAAATCAATAGCATTGCACCTGATGTGTGAAATAGTTCCTTTATTTATATATGTCCTCTCACGATGACTACACCAGGAATCTCACTGCCATCGTCTGACTATGGCATGCGTTTCAATGAAGCAACGCCCTCAATTAAACTTTGTTTAAGTAGGCAGAGGCAGCTATGGGTCAGTCACTAATTAACCTTTCCAATTCTAAGTGTTTAACGCACTTCTCTTGGTCTGGTGTGGATTACAGATCCTTCAAAAGGTCTGAACAGGCGAAACAGAGCTTTTTTCAGCCTGATGAGTCGGTTCCTCTTTTAGACAACAGGTGCCAGAGGGCTTTTCAAGTGTTGAACCTCTCCCTACTCTAATCTGACTGTGATCCACCTGTTTGTACCCAACGCAGCCTCTAATGCCAGAGATATTTTAAAAGAAAGTAGCAGCCATAGGGAGCTGACAGATAGGGGGTCGGCAATTATGGAGAAAGATTACTTTTTTTCTAACTATGAATCTGACATTTTTCAGTTCATATAATCAGTCTCTTAGCTACAAAACAGTAAAGAGAGGTCTAAGAATAGCAACGTTTTTTACTACAGCTGAAAGCGCCAGCAGTTAGATTTTTTTTTATACACAGAATCCGACTGTGGATTTGGAGCCAGTTCTGTAGTAAACAGGATCTGATTGATGTTCCTTTTATACAATGTATCAATACATAGCAACACAGTGCGGTATATTCATTAAATGGAGAATGGTGGGGATTTGGGAAAGGAACTGCAAATTTTAGAGCAAAACAGCCAAGTTGGAAAAATAGCTGAATTGGATAATATTTTTAAACCTTATTTTTCCTAGTAAATTTGCCATAATTCCCAATTTAGCGCATGAAGCTGATTATCATGATATGGGAGGATATTGGAAAACAAGGCAGGATGGTAAACGACTGTAATAATTCTCCTTTAACGGGACTAACCAATAATCAGCATTCAAGGCAAATGAAGACAAAAAATACTGTAAAACAAGTCGCACTGTGGCTGCTGTCAGTTGAAACAGGGCTGGTTCACAAATCAGGGGGAGACAAAGATGCCCCTTAATGTGAGCATTCTGTACACAAAAGTTAAAGGGGAACTGTCAATTTTAAGGAATTTCAGTAGCTCATGTTTCTAATCCCTATACTTTAAGGTACACATTTTAGCTTGCTGAAGTGCTTTATGTGTGAAGAGTGTCATCTTTTTTCATTTTACAAAAAGTGCAGATTTCAATAGAAATTGTAACTTTTATAAATTAATCTTGTTACACCCCACTGGCTGTCAATCAGAAAACAGGTCCAGTTACTTCCTGGTAGTTTAGCTAAACTCAAGAGGCAGCAATTGCCCAGAGCACCTGCCTTACAATGGCTACTCATTGAGCTGCATTGGGAAGTCTGTGATTGGACAACCACAGAAAGTCTGGGCGGGGTTAGAAGGGAAGGGCTGGCAAAGGCTAAGGACAAGAGATCTGCAGCTTTTGCAAGATGTTTTAGATAAACCCCAAATAAAAAAAATGCAAAATAAAATGCATGCATGTTTTCATATGGGGTATACCCACTAACAGTGATAATGTATTTTATTTAATCTGGGCAGTGGAGTGTGTATGAGGTATTACCTCCCATTCAATCATAGTTATAAGCATTTTCCAATGCACCTGGCCATCAGCTTATAAAAAAACAAAATAGAAAAGGATACATGAAAACAAAAAATAAAGTTTCTATTTCTCCTATTTATTTAATGTTTGCCCTGACTTTGCCTTATCTGAACTGGATTATGACGCCATTTTCTAAATTTTCAACATAAATGTAAACTATAACAGAACATCCCATGAAAGGTGGGTTAACGCAAGTTAAAAGTGATTTTAAATCTTACTAGTATCGTTTCCAAAGAATGAACAATTACTCTTTAAATAGCTCTGGATAGCAGAAGAGGAAGTGAAGTAAACTCTATGATGGATGGCCTGTGTGTGGGGACAGAGTGACAGTGTAATGATCGTAAGTTATTATAGAGCTTATAGTGTCCCTTTAACCTAAACAGAAACATGGCAATGGATGAATGGGAAATAGGAAAACCCATAAAAGACTCCAGTAACAGTTCCGATGAGATCTAGGTTAATTGTGCTGATTATTATAATTCCCGCACTAATCCTACAGCCGTGTCAGGGTTGCAGCAGATGGTCATTTTACTTTGCGAGGGAGACATGGGTAAGGTAAGGAGCACTTTAATCCAGACACGCAGTCGATGTTTACAACAAGCTCAGTAAAACCAGCAATTTCTGTACACCAGCTTTAGATTCAGATATAAACCATAACTATAAATCATGTATTTAAATAAGGTAAAAGGAGAAATTATCAATAGCAAGGAGAAGCTGATTAACACATCCCTGTGACTGACACAGCGTACATGAAAAAAAGTTTTAATTTTCAATCAGGTGTTAACTTACCTTAGAAGTTTTTATCTCCTGCTCTCTAATTGATATTTAACCCCTTAAGGACACATGACATGCGTGACATGTCATGATTCCCTTTTATTCCAGAAGTTTGGTCCTTAATTACAAACATGAGATTCATGCAGGCTCTACAACAGAGCAGGATATGAGAAATGCTAGTTTGAACAGACTGCAATAAAGGAAACTGATAGGAAGTGTTTAGGGAGTCTGTGCAAGTAACATGCAGGGAGGTGTGACTAGGGTATATAAACAATGTGATATAACTCCTAAATGGCAGAGAATGTAGCAGTGAGACACGTGGGCATGAGCTACATTATAAATGCCTCATTGAGCTGAGATGTTTTGGTGACTGTTTTAGTGTAACGTTGATTAAACGTTGCAGCAAATAAAGAGCCGCTAGGTAATAACCTGGCTGTGGGCAGTTAGGGGTCTGTAAAATGTAGTCACACAACCCAACATTGGGATAGAAGAATGCATGAGACGTGGCAGGGACATCATTGGCACCATAAATGATAACTGATGTGAGTGAAGTTCTACCCACGAAAGACCTGTCTGGTTAAAAAAGGGGCATTCGGGGGGCGGGGCCTAGCCGCTGAACAGAGAGGATGCAGAACAGCATGGCTCCTGCTTTTCAAGGCACAAATCGCTACATACAGGCCACAAATGGCCCGCAAACGACCCAAAAGGGTCACCAATCGAGAGGTGAACTAGCAGGGCTCATAATGACACCAAACATGATGCCATCCGTGCAAAAATCATCGGAGAGACAACTGCGGCCTGCAAACCAGCATGGCACTGGGGAGACGGCCGCTCCCCGGTTGCTCTCAAAGGCAAAAGGCTGGCGATTGGACCTCAGTCCCCCCCCCCATGGACCGGCGGGGGTCATCCCGGTCCCTGTCAGACCCCAACAGCCCCACGGGAAGCACACAGAAGCAGCGCTTACCGAACCCGAAATGGCGACAAACATTGGCCTGAAAGCACAGTGGCTCGACATCCTCACACGGCTGGAGGCCACATTTGCAGCCTTCTGGACAAAATTGGCAGAGCGGCAGGCTGGGGCACACACTCTGGAAGAGTACCTACCGACGGCACCTTCCTCACGCCCTCGGCCACGAGGCACACCTCGCAGACAGAAGAGAGTACAAAAATGGCGCCTCCGAAAGCGAAACCCACAGCAAGGGCGCAGACCCACGCGTTCCCAGCCACAGACCGCCACCTCCTCAAGCACCAACAAGGCGTCCACACTCAAACACTCCACCAAGCTTCGGCCCAACAAGAGACCCACAGACCCGACCAGCAGTTCCAGAGGAGGCGGCCCAGAGCAATACACCCTCTTGCATGCCGAGGGCTGGAAGTACCCCTCGCCCTGTTGCGCTACAGTCGAAACAAGCGGCCTACGGCACCCACCTGCTACCACCCTCCCATCCCTGGGCATCGGTTGAACTGTGTATACAGAGCGGCGCGGTCCATGCGGAATGACCTTCCCGTGATGGCTGAATGAGATGGAGGCAATGTCTCACTACCTTTGGGCACCTGATGAGTGGACACTGAACTTTGCGGCAGCCTGGCTGATCTTGTGAGGTCCCTGCAGGGCATAATGCCCGATAAGTTTCTGTTAAAATAGGTTTTATTTTCCTTTTCTTTTAAGCCATTATAGATCATCGACCGGTTGCTATGCCCTACAATGATGCCTGCCTATTGTTTATGTGCTGACACACACTAACTCGATAATAATATAATATCTAACAAGCAATAGGACAGAAAATAGACCTAACAATCTAAGCATGAACAAAACTGTATTTCTGATATCTGAGTAACACTACTAGACTAAGCTTGTTTCCCTTAAGTTTAATAATTGTTTAAGTCAAATAATTGCTAAAGTCAGGGGCGTGGCCAGGACACGGAAGAACATGGCAGCTTAGGCACGGAGCTCCGACCCACGAGCAAACACAGCACACCTTACCGTTAGCAAGGCACGAGGATGGGGCGCACAAAACGCCCGGACGGGTCGCAGACGCCGAGGGGTCACTCCTCCAGCACCTCGGCTGGCCCCATGGACGGATTTCTGGCACCCGCGACGACCACGCTGCAGGAGGCCGCAGGCTCCAACATGGCCGACTCACCGGCCCGCTCCAGGGCGACGGAGGGAGGCGAAACAACGCTGGCGGACATAAGTGCTGATCTGAAGGCACTTGCCACGAATATGGTCACCAAGGAAGACCTCCGCAGCCTCTCTGACACCCTCCATGCCGCCATCCGCACAGAGGTAACCGCGCTGCGGTCAGAAATGACAGCGCATGCTTGCAGGCTACAGCACTTAGAATCTGCCACACAGTCCCACACAGCCCAAGCTGAAGCCTCTACCCTAGCTATCTCCAGACAGGGGAACATGCTGCTGGCCCTCAGACGCCACGCGGAGGATCTAGATAACAGAGGCCGCAGGTCCAATATTAGGGTACGCGGCCTGCCAGAGCCAGATGGCGAGGAAGACGTGGAGGCGCGCATTCTTCAGAGGTTTACTGGGCGCTGAAGCCCCAGCCACAATAGAGTTTGACAGAGCGCATAGAGCAAATCGGTTGCGCACTAATGAGAGGACGCCACGAGATATTATATGCTGCATGCATCAGTACAAATTGAAGGAAAAGATCATGGCCAGAGCGAGATCCAGACCGACGTGGAGATTCCATGACGCAGATGTCGCCCTCTACCAGGACCTCTCGCCTCTAACCCTGGAGGCACGCAGAGCACTGAGGCCGATCACGACACAGCTCCAAGAGAGGGGTATCCACTACAAATGGGGCTACCCCTTCGCCCTGTTAGCCAGACACCAAAATGAATGGGTCCCCTTACGCTGGCCGGAGGAAGCGCCCAGATTCCTGCAACGCCTAGGACTACCACCCACGGAAATCACCAACTGGGTCTTCGGGCCACCAGATCAGAGGACAGGCCCACAGACACCGAGACAATTGGGCCGACGCAGAGATGGCACTCCACGGCGCCCTACAGCTCGCAGACAGCTAGCGCCCACCGAACCAGAAGAGTGAAAGCAGGCGGCTGGATGGCTGCCCCTCCCGGTGTCCGCTGGCCTGGCCCTCTGGACGCGGCCACACAGGGAACCCAAAGGAGGAATCCAGAAACCCTCGACCGCCTGAAGACACCTGACCCCAGATAAGTTCCGCACCTCACGCACTTACAGACATTGACCCTAGCACACGCACTAAATACCCCACCTACAGGGAGACACTTAGAAGAGACACGAGCCTTAGTCCCCTGACACATGGCCGCTGAGGTACCCTCTTGAGAAAAGCAAGACATCAGAGGGGGTCACACTGACTGAGTTGCAGGGGCCTGCCTGCACCGCCGTCAGGGGGCCCTTTTGGAGATCGGGGACATTAACACTAACTGGCCGATGGCCTTGGCTGACAGGTTGAAAGGCCATCGGGCTTACTGAGAGATGTGGGTGGGAACCCCTGGAGCAATTGCTGCGCACATGTTTGGGTGGGCACACCGGGTGGGGATGCTGAACATCATATGATTGCACTCTGGACTTCTAAATATAACACTGTGGTTTGGTTTTTGCTCTGTTGGCATGGGGGTTTGCTTGGGGGGGCTGGAAGGGGAAAAAAGAAAAAAAAAAAGTGATGTGGTTAGAAGGTTATGCTCCGACATAGAGCCTTGGGGAAGGGAAAGCTGAGCTGAGCGGGTCTAGGGGTGGGAGAGGGCGATGGAACTGTAACTTGAAGTATATGCAATTTGTACTGCTAATATGTTGTCACCACACGCTCTCAGAATCACATGCAGTGGAACCACGCCCAGTGACAGTTTAGCATGGCCCACACAGTAAGCCCCGCACACCAGAGCCAGGTTGGACACACTAGATAGCTGGAATAGCTTCCCGACCGCCTAACTGGCCCCACCCCCCCTCCCCCACCAGTACACACCTACCTCGAGGGAGGAGCACACTTAACCCCTGGGTGATAGCTAACGACATCATAAGCTGACCTGACCATCGACTCCAGACGGGGCCTGACGCACACATGTAACCAGAACACACCCAGAAGTGACCTTATGATAGACTGATAGAAAAGGAATGGATACCGAAAAATATACGTGGGGATCGGATCCCAACCTTGGGCTGCCATTTCATGACTTGACTATTACCACCTCCTAACCTGTAATTCACAGGTACTAGACACGTTTATCTCCTGATATTCCACCCCCAGATAGGACCTGTGTTCTCCAATTACTGGAGGGGACAGATCCGCGGCTGTCCTACGAGACGGTGCGGACCTGATACTCGATCCAGTCACACAGGTCGCCCTCAAATTGAGGGACACAACACTTCAGGTGGGACACACGCTGGGTGGACTCCCGGATCCGCCCGGATTCGGATACCCTTGCCTTCCCTGCTCCCTCCCCAACCTCCCCTTCTCCCCTCACCCCCCTGACTGGGGGGGGAAAATAAATATAAAAAAAATAAAAAATAAAAAAGAGAGAGAGAGGAGGCTGCCACTACCACAATACCATCACCACACACTTTAAGCCTGTACACATACGGGAGACCTCCCAGTACAATGTCCGACATGCGTGGAACACGGGTACCTCGGGGGCGTGGCGACTCGGCGTTCACAGCTGCCCCCTTCCGAGTAGTCACACAGAACTGCAGAGGCCTGAACGCTCCAGAGAAACGTGCACACCTCCTACGGGAACTGAAACAGCAGCATGTGTCAGTAGCACTACTACAGGAAACGCACCTGAGAGTGACGGACACACGGCGGCTGACAGACAGGCGCTTCCCGGATGCCTTCCACAGCACCCACCCGACGGCTCGCAAAGCGGGCGTGGCGATCCTCCTGGCCAACAGCCTCCATTTCACTCAGAGCGACATGATGGCCGATGGATACGGCAGATACCTGTTTGTTTTAAATCTGTTTTTATTAAGGTCGATATAACAAGCAGTTTTCCCACGCAGGGGAGATAGCGTATATAATGCATTTGTTATGGAAAAACTTGAATAAGTAGATATCTAAAACTTAAGTCATCACTGTAAAGTCGGGTACTATGCACTTAAAGATTCCTTGCAAAATTATAGCATTAACAGAACGGTCAGGCTATAAGGACCTAACGGAGTCTAAAACGTGTAACCAGAAATAAATCACAGATATTTAATATGTTGTTAATATATGTAGCACTAACTTACAGGCCGTGATATGGTATAATTGTTTTTGTGTCCAGTGTGTGAGCTCCAATACTGCGCACTGTTCATGTGCGGCAGGAAATGTTTCGTGAAGTTTCTGGTTATCAATGTAAGGACTACCAACTTTTGTAATAAGTGTTAGTATTGCGAGTAGAGCGCTGTGTATTTAATAAGTGGGCACGATTTAGTACTAGTCTTCTATTAAGTAAGCACCGAACTTTACGTAGCTCAAAGGGCGTTGTGTTTTCTAAGTGTAGTGTGGGCCTGGTAGTATACCGCCTATTATGATGCGGTCAGCCATTACGCCCCCGTTATTCCGTTTATAATTATTACAGTATTATTAAGAGCGACACGTGGCCCGTGCGTAAATAATTACTTGGTTCAAGTTATTAATGTATATCTTTAAACAGTGAGCCAGTATAGTATTAACGCCTGACTTCAGCGGGATAATGTGTTAAAAACATAAGGGGCGAGTCCTCCTAGGTGCGGCTGCTCCCCATGTTGTATCCTACTGCGGATTAATTTATACTAGCGATTTGGTTCATAAAAATAACATGTCATTAAGTGCTTGCGTCCCATGTCTTAACGGGCGCTAACATATACGGGACATAAAACAACATAAACATCATATATGGAGGTAAGAAAGCACATCTTGATGCAATATACGTAATGAAGTATATAGGCCAACAAAAACATTAATAGGGACCGTAACCATATGGAAGCAAGGTTGGCAGGAACTTGAGAGGGGGCTGTTTGGCAGTCTGAGGGAGGCTCAACATGTCTCAGCTACGATGCAGTCCCCCGGTCACCGAGCCTCCGTCCGTTCACCCCACACCGCCCCCCGCCCACCAGACAGGTCCTCCGCGGCGCCGTGGGCACTCAGGGGCAGAGTTTGTCCACTGGACCCCACCACAAAGTCCACAACTCTCTCGCCCCCTGCACCTCCCCGGTACCACGTTGTTCCTTATGGAGCAAGCACCCCCATGTCTCTCCCAGTGCCGGCCTCACACTTAAAGCTGGTGCCCAGCCCCCCCGGCCACCGGTCCGCCGGCAGGGCAGCGCACTCCCGTCCCACAGGGCTCACGGCACCAGGGACATAATTCTCCGGGGACCTCCATACCCAGAGACTGGGGTACTCACTGCTCCAGTCAGCTTGTGGGCGGCGTGTAGGCCCCGTCCAGCGCTCAGTATCGTCTGGGCCTGCTTGAGCTGACCATGCCAGTCTCCCTCATTACATTTTTCCGTGGTCCTCTGGGTGCGGTGAGCCGTGCCGGAACAGTTCCATAGGAATGCAGGTGGTCCTTTTCATTTCAGCTCCGTTCATTCGGGGTCTGTGTATCTCCACACTCTAGCTCTCCTCTCCCTCCATGTTAATGACAGTTTCTGCTGGCTTGCTGCTTCACATGCAGCTTTTGCCAGTGTAGGCGGCCAGCGCACACCCCACGCGGGAATTCCCGCCGTGGCATAGGTCACCGCCATGCGGCCGGGGTAACCCCCACCGGCCAGGGGGGGGGGCAGGGCCGTGCCCCGGGCCGGGTGTGCAAAGGGAACCATCTGTGCGGCGTCTCTCCCGCTGAAATGTTTCGGGGCTGCGCCTCTCTGTGGCGTCCTGCCGCGTGGCGTTGTCTCGGCCGGATGCTCTGCCGCGTGTAGGCCGGTCTCGCCCTCCGTTGCCCGTCCACCTTGTGGTGTGCTTCTTGCCGGCATCCGAGGTGTGCTGGGGTGTGCTGGGGTCGTTCCCTGTTAGTTGTTGTCGGGATAGCCGACTTTTTAGCAGGCTTTTGTGCCTTTTTGCTCAGGTTAATGCCGGAGCCCATGTTTAGTGCGTCTGTTCGGCCCGGCGGCCCGGCCCCGCCCCCCCAGATACCTGTTTGTAAAAGGAGTAGTAGCCCAGAGGACATACACATTCGCATCAATATACGCTCCGAACACCAAACAGGCAAAATTCCTCCGCGCTACACTCCTCAAATTAGCCAACTTCACCGAAGGTGCCCTTATAATGGGGGGAGACTTTAATGCACCCCTGGACCCGATTCTGGATTCGTCGACAGGGCACAGCAGTATCCCGCAAACAGCCATCCGGACGATACGCAGGACTCTTCGTAACCTGCGCCTTGTGGACGCATGGAGAACCCTCCACCCAGGGGACCGTGATTACACGCATTACTCGGCTTTACATCATAGACACTCTAGAATTGACTATCTCTTCCTCCAGCAGGAAGGCCTCCACGGACTACTGGATGTGGAAATCCGCCCTACCCCATGGTCGGACCATAGCGCAGTATCCATGCTCATGGACTCGCCTCTATACAGGCCGGTCCGGTCTACCTGGC